TGTTTTATTTTTAATACTCAGCCCTGCCCCTCTTCACTCATGAACATCATACCTGAGATTTTTAAATCTGAGGTTTCAGTGATACCAGAGCAATAGGGCCCTTGAGAGTTTGTGTGATCTGATGCCAGCATTAAGTACAAATGTGAAATTGGGTGAAGACAAGGATCATTTTGAGGTACAGCCATCAGATCCACCACTATTTTATTAAATGAAGTTATATTATCCAAAGGGCCTGAAAAGCAACTTACACTTTCATTCAGTCTGGCATTTACTAAGCGAGGTCTTGAAAATTAATAAAGATAGATTTTCTATCAGAATTCCTAATTTCAAATCCCAAATGCTTATCCAGATGAATTTAGTCTCTATGCTGTAGAATTAGAATTACAATATGTAAAGATTACAATGAAATGCTTATGTGCAAACCGTATCATGGATCATAATTAAAATTCTGATTACCGGTTGCCATACACAGCCACGTTCTTCACAGCTTTTCTGGGTTGCAGGTTCTGCATCTGGATAACAATTAAATCTTTCATTTTCTGAGAAAATTTGATTCCACTGAACGGTAAAGTTTTTTCCAAGGTTAAACTTGAGATTGTAAATTAGGAGACTCTTTGGAGACAAAGAAAACATTAAAGATTATTTCTGACCATTGGACAATTTAAAAATATTTAACATTTATAAAATGCAGCAACCATAGCAATTCTTCAAATCAAGTCATAAGTAGTTTTAATATAATACTTAAAGAATGGAATAGAATGCCACTGAAATGGCTAGTGCCTCAAAACAGGAAAACTGTGAGAATTATAGATACTCAGGTAAAGTATTATATTAAATTCTCAGTTCTTTCATTTAATACTCTTGAGTCTTGGGAAAAATGGTCTGCCATAAACTTTTTCACATTTTTAAATGTCTATAATGACCCCTACTAAAAGGGGGTGCTATACAGAATGAATATGAAAACTTTAAAAGACCTAGAATAATGCCTGGAGCATACTAGCTATGAAATACATGTTAGGTCTCTCAAGGAAGAAAAAGGTAAGAACAAACTGAGCACTTTGCTCGATACAGAGGCTCCTAGAGTCAGAGGAGGAAAATACGTATTAATACATATTTCTTTAATTTTGCCCTTAATTTTATTCATTGTTTGAAATATTTGAGGAACAAGTTAGAGGGGTCTTAATATGGCATTATGCATAAAAGCAAAAATGACTATATATATATATATATATATATATAGAGAGAGAGAGAGAGAGAGAGAGAGAGAGATTATATATGCATATTCTATCCACAATTATTTACATTATTGGGAAATTGCAAAGTTACACTTGGTTATTGTTTATATAACTTGGGAATAACATGGACATAATTTATCCCAAAGTTTCATCTACATAGCTTAGTTTTTTATACCAGTGCATTTTCATAAATCTACATTCAGGAAAATTTTTTATAAAACTAAGAATTAGGAAACTATGTCTACTAGTATCTGTTCAAATCATTACATAAACATAAAAATAGAGATATATAAGTTGAAATTGCACAAACCAAATAAAATATTTTCGTATTATGTTTTCTTTATAATCTTTGTTAGAGTCATAAAGTTCTCAAATAAATTTGTCCTATTTAATTTGTATTGATTTATTCCTGTTGTCCTGGGAATATACAAATTATAGTATATTTACTAAATAAAAATAATTAGCCAATACATATTTTTTATAAAAGTCCCTAAGTGAAGAACTCTGGGCCAAGAGGCTTAAGAGTTAGGCAAAAATACTCTGAAAATATTGTGTATCTAAAATAATTTATAATTTATTTAGGCTGATATTACTAATAATTCAGTATTATATAAGTGGTGGAAAAGTCAATACCTCTAAAAATCACTTCTATGTTTTAATTTATTATTTTTAATATTTAACTACATAAATTTATTACCCAAAGCAACATTATGATTTAAATATCACATGTTATAAGTGAGGAGGCTGAAATAATGAAAGATTAAATTGATATGGTTAAGTGTACATATTTATTTTTCTCTTTAGTACACCTGTTCACAAAAACAAAAAGTACAAAATGGAGCTTTGTAATAGAAGGACTGTAAACAAAAATTTGAAGAAACAAGTACAGTGTTTATTGAGGACAATGGAAGTTCATGAAAGAAGCAGGGAGAATAATTAAAGATATGGTTTAAATCATATCTGAGAGTCTTAAATGAGAAGCTAAAATATTTAGACTGCTGTATGCAACAGATGTACCTTAGAGTTCAGAGTAAGGAATGGTATAAGAAAATACTTGGAAGATATAGGTAAGTGCCAATAAAGATAAAATTAAACAGGGAGAAATAGCAAGGAGGCGCCTTAATATTGGTATCCTATCTAATAATAGAGAAACATGGTAATTAACTGTAACTTTGCTACCCTTCCCATTGGCTAATCAACGAGATATGCAAATTAACTGCCAACCAAGATGGCGGCCAGCAGCCAGGCAGCTGAAGCAAACAGGAGGCTTGCTTGCTCCAGTGATGGAGGAAGTCAAGGTTCCCCACCTGCCGCCGCCAGCCTCTGAGCTGCAACTCTAAGAAACAATGTTGCAATTATAGAAGCTAAACAATCTCCAGAAACCTGCTTTCAGCCGGCTGGCCTGGGAGCTGGAGCTGAAACAGTGTTTCAATTATAGAAGCCTAACAAACCCAGATCAGCAGGTGAGGTCTCAGAGCTGGAGACAAGCCTCAGAGCTAAGGCCAGCTCTCAGTTCCAGTGAGTGACCAGCTGCAAACAGCCATCATCGCCTTATCCAGGTTGGCCAGGAACCCAAGAGGGACCCCCACCCTGATCCAGGACACCCTTCAGGGCAAACCAGCTAGCCCCCAACCGTGCACCAGGCCTCTGTCCTACATAGTAAAAGGGTAATATGCCTCCCAGCACTGGGATCAGCGGAACAGCGAGGTCTCCTAGCACCAGGATCAGCTGAGAAGCAAGGCCTCATTGCCCCTGTGTCAAGTAGAGCCGCAAGGCCTCCCAGCACTGGGATCAGTGAAGCCGTGAGGCCTCCTGGCCCCTGGAGCAGCATGACAGGGGGCAGCGCCCAAACCCCCTGATCGCCCCACAGCTCTGTGTGTGACAGGGGGTGTGGCCACAGCCCCTTGAACCGCCCTATTCTGTGTGTGACAGGGAGCAGTGCCCCAACTCTCCTATAGGCCCTACTCTGTGCATGACAGGGGGGAGCTCCCCAACTCCCTGATTGGCCCTGCTCTGTGCTTGACAGGGGGCAGTGCCTCAAACCCCTGATGGGCCCTGCTCTGTGCTCTCCGCAACCTCCCCATCAACTCTGCCTTGAGTGTGACAGGGAGCGGTTCCCTAACCCCCCAATCGGCCCTACCCTGAGCGTGACTTGGGGTGGCATTGCAACCTCCTGATCCACCCTGCTCTGTGCATGACAGGGGGTGGCACCCCAACTCCCCAGTCGGCCCTGCTCTGAGCCGGCCCAGGGGCTGCACCTAGGGATTGGGCCTGCCCTCTGCCACCCGGGAGCGGGCCTAAGCCAGCAGGTCATTATCTCCCAAGGGGTCCCAGCTGTGAGAAGGCACAAGTGGGGCTGAGGGACACCCCCCACCCCACCAGGGCACAAACTTTTGTGCACCGGGCCTCTAGTTCTATATAATAAAAGAGAAACATGCAAATTAACCATCCCTCTGCTATACTCAAGTCACACCCACAAGCCATGCCCACCAGCCAATGAGGATTGAGTATGCAAATTAACCCAACAAAGATGGCGGATAATTTGCATACACAGAGCAGAGTGGGAGAGCTGGCAGCTTTTGGGGATGTGGCCCCCTTGGTCACTCCCTCGGTCTCTCCCTTAGGGGGATGTGGCTCCCTCAGTTGGGGGAAACCCAGAGCGTCGAGTGGGAGAGCTGGCAGCTTTTGGGGATGTGGCCCCCTTGGTCACTCCCTCGGTTTCTCCCTTAGGGGGATGTGGCTCCCTCACTTGGGGGAAACCCAGAGCGTCAGGAGCACCAGAAATTCTGGGAATAGTAGTTCTGATGGCAGCCCCAGTACCAGAAGTAGAAGCCCAGAGGGAGGGGAGCACCAGCAATGCTGGGGATCATAGTTCTGGTGGCAGACGGATCTCCTAGACACTAGAGCAAAGTGAGCCTTGAGCAATTACTGTTGC